CCCCCCCACGTTCACCACTTATGGCCTTGGTTTCCAACCCCCCCCCCCCCCCAAAAAAAAAAGATGAGACCAAAAGTTGAGTCTTGTTGGCTGCTGGCGATGCATCTTTGGCAATGAGGGTTAAACTATAAGAGGGGTCAAGTCAGACAAATCCGGTCAACACACAACCAGGCGTCCATAGTATGCGAGGCCATTTTCCTTTCAAGCCAATCATGTACCCATGTGTCTCCTGCGGCCATCCGGAAGTTTGAGCAGGCAGCAATGGTACTCTGTACTTTACAGCCCTTGACGCTTCTGCATTGCCTAGTCGAACTTCCTGATGCTGTGGAACGTATCAGTTGGGTGACTTGGCCCACTGGACGGGCCAGATGCACTCTGTCCTTGGTTGGATGAAGAATTCGTCAGGGCCGTCTGTTTCATCATGTTACCCAGAGCGGGGTTGTCCGTCTTGGATTCTTCTTCAGCGGAAAAGGCTTCGATATTGTGTCTCCTACCAAAGGCAAAAGTTGCCGACCAGACAAGAGTCACACTACACAGTACGCGCAGCAGCGCCTGGCGAAGCATCAATCATTTCGTAAGGATTTTGCAGCTTGCAACGAGAGATAATTGGCAGCGGAAATCCGTTGGTTCGTCAGTCAAAGGATTGCTTGTGGGCGACAGCTGGCGCCCCCAATATGCCACGGCTTTCTGGACCATCTCGGCAGGCACTGCTACCTAGTACGTACTAACTCTATGTCAAGTTGCATAAATGAGTTTATGCGTCAAAAGAGTTGGTACAAATCACAGGATTTGTTCATGCTGCTTCGACTTCAAATTAACAGAATAAGAACCTACTGGTATTCAACCGAACGTCCTCTGTAGTACGTTTTCCCAAACTTTTTAACATGATACTTGGCCAAACCCTCCAACATCAAGGGAGGATTCATGTTTTGATTCTTTCTGATTGGTAAAACGCCCTCCAAGAGGACAAAATCCAGCTGACAAACCCACCCAGAGCATGCAGCAAGGGAAACAGCAACTTGGGGTAGGGGCGTAGATGAATATATTTATAATAAAAGTACGGCAAGATGAATTCGCGGGACGATACTTGAACATGAAAATACCTAGTGCTGTACATTTCCGGCCACAGCGCCCGGGTCAAAGTACTTGATCGAGGCATTCAGTCCCGACACGTCTGGACGTGCAGACGGTGAGCTCTGCAAAGGCTCCATTTGACACCCAAAAGCTTCCGTTACCCTTTGGAGATATTCTTCCTTATCCTGGAGTTTTGTACGTATCGTCTCAGTAGCATTCTCTCCCCAGTACCAGAAGAACACCTCGTCAAATATGCTGAGTTCGGAATGTTCCTTGTTGAAAAGAGGTTGGATATGTCGATTAAACAAGTTGTACATGCCCTTTGGTACCGAGACTGCATGGAAGTACCAGAAGCTACCGCTTTTCCACACATGACGCTTGAGTGATGCCTCAGTAGTTACGCCGCTGTGTCGTTTCTCTTCCGCGGCATAGATGCTCAGGTACTCATCCACAATGGCGTCGTACTCGGCTACAGCATCTGCGTCATAAAAGCCGTCAACCGCCCTTGATGTAAGCCAGTACGGCAGGACTTGCATTTCGATTGGCTTTGCATATGTCCATTCGAGGTCGATGATGGACTGGATGTTCCATTGCTCATCTACAAAGATATTCGATTGATGCAGGTCGGTAAGGGTGAGGCAGAAAGGCCCCTCGCGGTATTCTGGGCGGATAAACCTATGCATGATAGCTCGCAGAGCAGTCAGAGCGGCAAGCTGACTCTCACCATCTTCCCGGTCATGGATTGCGTTTGGCTGATGTAGGATCTTGTTATCTTGGAGTGAAAGAAGGTCAGATATATAAGGCTCAATTGCGGCATAAATCCGCTGTCGTGGAATGCCGGATGTAACACCCTCGTTCTCTAGCATCTGGAAGTGCAGGTCAAGCGGCCTATTTGATAGAGAGATATAGCCGTCAGAATAAAAAGTTAAGGAACCAATATGAGACAGAGGTATTCTGTTGATTGACAAGGTGATGTTCGCAAGGTTCTGGAATAACCTCTCTCGATACGATTTATCATGCCGATGCTCTTCCCATGATAATGAAAGCATTGTCCCCTTGGCCTGACTGAGGATGACGTAGCCCGTCTCCAACGGACTATTCCATCTGCGAGGTACATATCGAGATGGAGCTGGGCGACCCAAGAGTTTCAGAATCCATCTCCTCAACTGCCACAATTTTTCAGTAAGAAATGGAGTATTGCTCGGATGCGTAAACTGCATACAATTATGAGCCCGGGAAAAAAAAATAATATACATGTAACTTACTACAGATCCATCAGGGAAGCCAAATGCGTGTAGAGTCGGAATGGGGACATCTGGACAGTTTGTAGGTTGCGACTTCTGTCCGCAACTTCTCGTCTGAATTCCCTGGGGCGTTCCCTTCGCCAGTCTTGTATGGGAGCGGTATGCGGAGAAAGACAGTCTCTCTGTGGTGCAGAAGAACAGGTATGACCACATTAAAGCTGCCTGATTTCCATGTCTCCACGGTGCAGAGATGGCACCAATCAACTCCCAGCTGGTAGCAAATCATAGATTCAATCTCAGCTTTACGCGCAGCCAGTGAAGTCCAAAACCGTTGCTTCTGCTCCGGATATTGCAACTGTGTCAGGATATTGTCATCTTCTTCTAGGGCATCCTTGAGATTCACTGTTCTCCGGAGAAGCTGACGGGTCGTCGAGTTCGACATTGTGGATGAAGGCTCCATGTCAGGGGAGAGACCGGTTTTCCGATCAACACTCCCGATATCAAAGACAATCAGGTGTTCGCTGGCCTTGATCGATTACTAGTGACCATGACGAGTGCTGATACTGCGGTCTCAAATTGAGTTGCGCATTTCATGCCATGGCTGTGGCAGGTCATTAAAGTAGGGACATGTTGGGAAGGTCAAACGATGCAACAGATGAGCCACACACGGACAGCCACTCTGAGCCACACGAGCTACGTTGGCAACTATCCGTGCGGGAGCGGGAGCGGGAGCGGGAGCGGGTCTGGCCGCCAGTTGTCCAGATTCATTGCTGCCGCGAAAACTGAAAGAACAATGCTCCCCCGGCATCATGTTTTTATATTCCCACATAACTAAGCTCGTCAGTCTAGCTGCTTCCCACCCCAAGTTAAATGCATCCCATTTCAAGGTGTTACAATGCCTTATGTCGAGAAATGTAATCTTCTACCATAATGCCGAGATGATTCTGAGCAGCTGTGTCGCGGTATTTCACAGTTTTCCTCTGTCAGAGAGTTTACACTTGCAGCTTTGACCTGGGTGCATCATCATGTGGTCCTACGAAACATGGCAATACTGTAAAACCACCGTTATTAATGCACTCGACTTCGGAGTGGTCTCTGAATGCAACCAACAGTAAAGCTAACGCGACATCGTATTTGCTGTATTTCAGGCAGCCTCAACCAATACTCGACTTCTTTCCGACCCTTCTTTCTGACCCTTCTTTCTGACATCGGCAAACCCCGCATAGCCAACAGTATAGTAGTACACAAATCGCACCCTACTTTTTCGCCTTTCCTTTGGTTTTGCCCTTGCTCTTAGGCTGGTCGTCCCCGTCATCATCTGCGGCAGCCTTGGCAGACTTTTTGGCGGGTTTCTTCTTGGGCTGCTTGATATACTTGTCTTTCTTGAGATCAACTTCATCTTCATCGACGTCTGGAACTTCAACAGCCTGTTCATCGTCTTCCTCTTCAATGGCTTCTTCCAAGTCAGGCACTTCCTTTGTCTGCCTCTTGGGTGCAATGACATTGCTCGCTTTCATAAACGGGACAGGGTGATTCATTGAATTGTATCTGGAGGCACGTCAGTGGTTGGCTCTACTTCGTATCATCAAGCTTCAACTTACGTTCTGGTGAAGGCAGCCTTTGTCCTCGATTCAATGGAAACCTTTTCTTCCGTCATTGGCCCAACTCCAAGCTCCTGAATGGCATCAAAGTCTTCTCTTGTGAGGAAATAGCTGTCCATGAGATCAATGACCTCGGGCACCGCATCCGTTCCTTCATTTTCCAAGCGATTCACAAGATATTTCCAGAGCACAGGTAGATACTGCTGTCGGACCTCGTTGTGGTCGCCCGAGGACTTGAGACGCATGTGCGAGTGAATCTCGCGGATATATCTGCCGAGTTTGCCCTGCTTGCTAAAGTTGCCCAGCCAGGATGTAAAGTTGGATCCCAACAGCTGCCCAGAAACGAAGCTTGCCGGGCGGACAGTGCTGAATACCGCATGAGTGGGCATCAGACTCCAGTGTTGCTGAGGGCCGTGAATCATGCGATCGACGAGATCACCGTCGCTGATACTCTCAGCTGCTTGATCAAACAGCTCCAGAGCTTTCAATTGTTCCTCGCGCTTATTATATCCTTTCCCATTCAAAGCCATTGGCTTGGTTCGCAGATAATTCTCTTGGATCATGAGGAAGCTGAACTCGTGATCGTTAAAGTACAGTTCAATCTTGTCGTTTAGGGTTGCCTTGCTCGCGGGGGCGAAGAGACCGCTTCCGAGCATCTTTTGGCAAATATCCCAAGGCTTGAGGACCACATGCTTTTCCCAAGCCTTTGTCATGGCCTTGCCCTCGTCGTAATTCATGGTCGTCTGGTCGAGTTTGGCAGTGGAAATCATGTTGATGATTTGTCGAATATCCTTATTGCTGCCTTCGATTAGGGCGTCAACCACCGCTGGAGGGAGTTTGAGGCCTTCGCGGTGGCAGATGGTCATGATTCTCGATCGCACTTGGTCAACTGTCGGTCTGTTGAATCTGATATCAAAAGCAACATGGTCAAAGGGCTTCATCTTCGGGAGCCGACGTTCGTTACAGATGAGGATCAAGGGGACCTCCGTCTTCTTGCAAAACTTGGCAAGAGCACCAACACCACCTCGGTCACCGGCGGACATGCCGTCCACTTCGTCCATGACAAGCACGATCTTTTTCTTTGCCGCATCAACGGTTTTGCCATCGCCAGCAAAGTATCCCAACAAGGAGGTGTTATTCATAACGTCGCTCACGCCGTTTTCGACCAGCTTCTTGCTCCTTACATCACTTGCATTGCTCTCCAAGACATCATAGCCTTCCAGCTTGGCAGCAAGATGGGCAGCAGTCGTTTTGCCAATGCCTGGCGGGCCAGAGATGATTATGGCCCGCTCTCCGCCAAGACCGTCTGCGCCGCGTCGCTGAAAGTTGTACTTTTTAGCCTTGGGCCAATTTCGAAGCCAAGTTTGAATCCTTTCCACCTGAGCCTTGTTGCCGCAAATATGACTCAGTTGCGTAGGAGCATACTTGGATGTGAGAAGCTGGGCGGCTTGAGCGGGAGCAGGCTGGGGAGGGGGGCCAGCAGCACCACGGGCGCTGGCTGCTTTTTGAGCTGCCTTGGCAGCTTCTGCTTTTCGTTTCTTCTCCTCTGCTTCCATTTCCGCAATCTGCTGCTTAACTTTCTCCTCTTCCGCCTTTTTCTTCTCCTGCGCTTTCTGTGCCCCCTTGCCAGAGCCACCATAGGCAGGCAATTTGCGGATAAGGTCAAACAGACCATTCTCATCAATGGTCTTGATACCATGAGACTTAATCTTAGCCAGCTTGCTGGGCCCGGCATCATCACCAAGAACAACAAAACTCGTCTTGCTGCTTGGCTGACCTGTCACTTTACCGCCATAGCGCTTGACAAGTGCTTGGGCTTCATCCCGTCCAATCGTCTGCAGGACACCAGTGAAGACAAATGACAAACCAGAGAGGCATTCTTCCTCGCCTTCCGGTAGGTCCGCTGACGCCACGGGTTGTATTGAAGCATTGCCTCCTCCAGCAGCGGCTTTCCTCCAGTCAAACTTGGCGTTAGGATCCTTTGGGGGTGGTGTTGGCGGTCTCACAGTGGCTACGCTATCAAGAATATTTTGGATTTCTGCGTCTTCGGGCTCATCTACCTTCTTGGCTCGAGGTGCACGTGGTTTTGTCGCGATTGGCTTCTTTCGAGGCAACTCCTCCTCTTCTGATTCCTGTTCCGGAGACTTTCGCTTCCTGCTCGTCGCTGGCGCAACTCGGCTGTTGGCTTTTGTGTCTTGGGCTGTTCCGGCCTGTCCACGACCGGCGACACGTTTCGGTTTCGGTAGTACCTCTTCTTCGGATTCTTCTTCAGCATAGTCATCGTTCTTACGTTTGCTTCGACCTTTAACATCGGCGGCAAAAATATCGTCTCCATCGTTATCTCTATCATCCATGTATGCATCGTCATCATCGTCAACATGATGCTTCTTGTAAGATGTCGTGGGCTTCTTCTTCGCTGGTGACCCATTTTGTACGGCCGCACCTGGCTTTTTATTTCGTGGACTTGCTCTGACAGGTATCTGTTCTTTAACTGGCGCTTTGTAGCTTCCCTTCTTTGGCGTCGACTGCTTAGAATTCGCCCCCTTCTTGGATGATGCAAAGTAGTCGTCTGCGGAAATAGCGACTCCTTGCGGTTCCGGATCACTACAAACATCAATCCCATGAATTGACTCAGCGGGGCAATTGTTTATACGCACGTCTTCTTTTTCCTGGGAGCAGCCTTTACGGCCGGTTTGGTTTCCCTGGGTTTTAGTCAGTCTGATGTACGCCATTTGTGAAATCATAAGGATGACGTACACAACTTCATCCTCATCGCTGTCCTCAACAACCTTTCGATTTTCTATACCGCAAATTAGATGGGAGAATGTCATGCATCATAGGGGGCAATCTTACTCGTTCGCTTTGATTTGGGAGCATCTTCACTCTTGGTCGGTGCAGGCTTGGGAGGTGCACCACCCTTGGGGGTGAAGAAGGACCGGATATCAGGCATACTGCGAATGGATAGGGTTGGAAAATTTGTCAATGCCAACGGAGACTCGACCAAAGGGCACCAGTACCCTT